TAGAACAGCACACTATAAAGGGCAAAATAGACTAAGTTGACTGAACCTGCAGTATCTGTATTTCTAATTCCTTATACTAAGATAATGAAAAGTCTCATTGATCTTGCTATACATCTGCCAGGGCATCTGGTTTATTAACTGACACATGTCCGCTATAAGTCATATAGTCTGCCCCCTCTATAAAAAAGAATAATCACCTAAAATGAATCTACTGAGGCCAGACTTTTTCCAACACATTTTGGCAACACATATTTTCCACACATCTTTTTCAGTATCATATTAGCTATGTGTCAGTTCTCTTGTTGGCATAGCTCCACAGTAGCTCATTAACCAACTGTTTGGTAGGACACAATCTCAATCTTGTGGAAGGTGAAGGCTAGTGTAGCATGCCATGCAAATAAAGGGGTTTGTTCTCCATCTGGCCAGGAACACCTCTGGGTATATTCTGAACCATGGAGACCAAATGGTTTTTCCATGTGAAGAGACCACACAATGCTTTTGAATTAATTCCCTGTACTGCAAAAATTAAAAAAGAAAAAGAAAAAGTCTCCACTTCATATAATGGACTAGAGGCCAAGTGATTGTCCTCATATCACACAGCTCACGTTTAACACTTAAAAATGCCAACTTGTCACCCAAAAACCAATAAAAAGCTCATAATGAATATAGGCACTTTAACTAACAAGTCTAAAGCGTTAAGTGCTGCAGTGGCATAGTGTGATATCCATTGAAAATGCCATCCTAAAGAACCTACGAATGAAACTAGAATTACAATCTATTAATCTAATCCATAGAATATTATCATTTTAAATAATTGACAATTATAAATATTTCACATCCAGAATAATAATCAGTAATTCTGATGTAATTATCAAAAGGTTAGAATGTTTTGACATGTTTTGTCTTGAAGTCTCGAAGGAATCCTATAATCATTTTCACAAAATCCATGAGAACTACATAAAGTAACTATGTGAGAATTATTTACAATCTCAGTGATTAAAAAAAATAAAGAAAAAAAAAGGTAACTCAAAATTAAACTCCACTGACACAAATCTCAAAGAAAAATGACTAAAGCTGAAGTTTTATTAATTAAGCTGTAGTTTCTATTAATTAAATTCAAAGGGAAAAAAAAGCATAAATATAGCCTTTCCGCTCTTCAGATAGTTTAAGTGGATGGAGCCCTGACTAAACGGCAGAGGCAGAGAATGTGCAGGAAAGGTCCAAGATAAGATTAAAGTTTACACATGTGAACTTGTCTTTGCTCAAGGAATTCAGCAAACCGAGCAAGGACAGCACAGACTATAGATTGTGTGCGAGACTCTGATGCAACTCTACCTTGTACCGCAGTCTTGGCTGAGTGATGCCATGTGTTGTTTGTTTCATTTGTTGCAGTTGTCGGCCAGTAACCCTCACCTCAACCTTCTACCCTAACTCTCCCATTTTCAGGTTGCTCTTCTATCAGGTTTGGCACTCCCTGCTGAGGCTCCTCATTAAGAGGAAAGTGGAACATCTGTGCTGGTCAGGCAAGATGACTTAGGCCTCCTGGCCAGAGCCTCAGCGGAGTGGCTCTGCTAGTAAGAACAAAAACTTCCTACAGGAGCCCTCTACAATCAAAAGAGGATAACTGCTTCACCTGTGTTTTTTTAAGACGAGACTTTCAGCTTGCTCTGGTTTTATTTTGGCCCCCAGCTTCTCACAGTACACCTTTGTAGACAGAACTCATTTCCATTGTGGCTGTGTTTTACAAATCCCTTTAATGCCGCTCCCAGTAGAAACCGCCTAATTGCTGCCTTTTAGATCCTGCTAAGCTGATGAACACTAAACTTGCCATATCAACCTTTTTGTTAGATGCGTAGAGTCTAGTGAAGTTTCTTGAGAAAGCTAAGACCACACAGCCAACTTTGTAATCTCTTCAGTAAAGCAAGTTTGGTATAATGACCACTAAAGTTAAAGCACTTAGCTTTTATAAAAGACCCCTGTCAGCAGCCATCAGATACTGTCACAGGGCTGGCTATGAAAGGTTTGACAGCCGCCATCTATTATCGCAGCATTAGCAGTGCCTCAAAGGCATCATCACAATGAATACCAGTGCTTCTTCAGTTGCACTCATGCAATTCTGGTGAAATGGAAAGAATAGAACACCTGTTATTCCAACCATGGATTATGCATTACAACCTAACAGCTGAAATTAGCGACTTTTGTTGTGTTAGACGCAGCAGTTTATTACAGAACAAAACCAGATATGAGCAAAGAAGGTTAAAGTAAACAAGATTAGCAGAATGGATGTAGCAGCAAAGTGCTTTTTTTTTTTTGCATGTTTGTATTCTTTTCACCATGTAGGAGATGGTATTTAAGATATTATTAAGTTTCCCTACATTGCATTTCAATTTTTTAACACAAGACTACATAAACTGTTTATCTGATTGTTGTTTTTAGCAAAGATTCATATATTCACCTGCATGTGTTTGCTAACACAAAGTTAGAATTAATTAAAAATATGTATTTAATCTTAGTTAACTGTATCTCAGTAACTAACCTTATTAACAACACAAGCCTTCATGTTTATCCTGAGGCTTGTTTTACCATGGTGCAACTTCCTTAACAGCTAACCATGCCTTTATATAAGAGCACATGCTCTCTTTACTTGAATGTGGATCATTGGTCTCGCTTGATCTTTGCAAAAACCACTGAATGAAGCTGCCATGTTTCTATTTACATATTTAAGACTCGGTATCTAAAAGCAAATAAGAGGCTCTAAATTTTAATTTTTAACTCAATTATCTTCTTATAAACACTTACTGATGCTACACTGAACACAGTTACAGTATTTGCAAGCATTTAGTGTCATTTAAAAGCATAAAAATCATTCTCCTTAATTCAGTTACCTTGACAGTATTTGCTGTATTGTGTAAAAGCTTTTGTCTATGCACTGGGATGTGCTTAATGTACTAAATCTTAGATGCATATGCAGACAAATTTTATTTTCAATTAGTCTGAAGAATAGTGTTAGACCTACACAATTTCCTTGACAAATAACCTACAGTGAATACTAAATAACAAGTTTTTAAAACGGCTGCACTGGGATCAAGCCATGGGCTCCTTTATGTTTATTGAGTAGTATCTATGGAGGATGGATTTAAGGTGAATAATAATGGAGAGTAGGTGAGTCACGGTTGTGTGAAGTGAAAACGACCAAACCCACGCAAAGCTCTTGGTGTAATGTATGCAGCGCCTAATTTCCTATTCGTCTCAAAGGAAGCTTTCTGAAACTAACCCAGCCGCTCTATTTATATCTGGCAACATCTTTTCATCTCTTTGCTGATGGAGCCATTAGGTACAACATAACCCTATACTGTCTTAACTTCCACAATGAAAGCCTATGTTAAAATGATATTTCATTTACAATTTACAAGCTAACAAGATTTTACTGATAAACATCGTAATAGATCATTTTAACGAAGAAAGCGATCATTGCCATTGCTCTATTCCAATATGTTGCTTGTGAAACAAAAACCTGACTGATCTCATGAACTGAAAATAAAACAGATTTTCCTGTGTTTCATTTACATCTGAGTGGATGTGCATGCCCGAGTTATTTATGCCTGCGAGGGCATGTGAATGAGCGAGAAGGAGCCAGTACTAAACGAGGTCAATGCTTTATTTTCTTTTAATATAATTTACAGTCTGACTCCTCAGTCACCCACAGTTCTTTCATCCTGTGTCTGTTAGCTGCAAATTTGAACGGGCGTTAGTTTGCAATTTGCTTGTAAATGGGAATATTGAGAATATGTACACGTTGAAGAAAAAACAGCTAATTTTGCATTATCAGTAACGAGTAATTTCTAAGACATTTGGATGCATGCGTGAATTCAAGACGTTCAGAATTAGCATCTGTCTTTAGCCAAGCATCTACTGTTCCTGCTGCTACAATTAGTAGGGATGCACCAATTTATCGCCCAATCATAGGCAATGGTAGAAAGTCCAGAAACATAATGACGATGACAGTGAATAATGATTAAATAACTTTACAGATATACTCTTAAATTGCACAAAAGATGTAATTTATCCCTGACAATTTCCCAATTTGTGATTGTGTATTAATTAGAGTTCAAAACAAACAAACAAAAAAAGAATAAAAGATGTTGATGTAGAATATGTATTATGCATATAAAACAGACCAAAGTGGTTCACTGATTTCATCAAATGTCCAAATTTTTTTCAGGTGCTCATGAACTTGCATTAGACTAACTGGGTCTTGCTAAAAGATTATGTGTCTTGTATACAGTAATGTTTTTATAAATAATAATCATATTAAAGAGTGGTAGTACCTGCTGATTCCCCATGTGTCTGTAGGGTCTTTACCTTAGAATATTGTATGCATTATGATGACTCAGCTGGCACTGATACACAGATTTACTGCTAAATAAGTATTCAGTTTAATTTAGTTTTAATGCAATGAGGAGAAAAGCAAGCAAAAGACACCAATGTCTGGGTTTGTTGACCATTTCTTATGCAAAAATTAAAGTGGAGCATGAAAAACTCTAGAAATGCAAATTGTACCTCTGACTAACTTTCATTATGTCTAACACTCCTTTTAACCCATATAATAGCGAAAACCCGCCATATTTCATTTATATTCTTCTCCATATTACGGCAAAAAGTATGTCTCTTATTTTAAATCACCCGTGTATGTTTTCTTTATGGCACATTTTTTAGGTATCAGGAGCACATTTTACCATTTTATTCATGCACACAAAGACATTAAACCTTTTTTTTACAGCAACTTTGAGGAAAAGCACATTTCAGAGGGAGGATAAAATGACGATTTTCAAATGGATAGTGCTACTTTCTTTCTATTCCAATGAAATTATGCTGTTTGTAATTTTTAAATCCCTCAAGTTTTAAACAATTCTGTTGAACAAAATTCTACGATTATGCTGGGAAATAAGTCGAAAATAAAAACACCACGAGTACGAGGCTGCGGCGCCGAGTTCACTCACCAGCTGGGCATCTGCAGGAAGCTGTTCCATTGGAGCGTGTCAGGCAGGTGGAGTTGTGTAGGCAGGGATTGTGGAGGGGGTCACACGGGTCATAAGGCTGCTTGCACAAGGGGCCACTGAAGAAGGGGGGACAGGTGCAGGAGAACTCCCCAGGTATGTCTGACTCCTGACACCGAGCTCCATTTAGACAAGGGCCAGAATCGCACTCATTCACATCCTCTGTACAGTCCACACCTGTCCAGCCTCGTGAGCACAAACACCTTACATACACCAGAGAGGAGATGTTACACAGTAGAGGTTATTTTGCCATAAATCTAAATGAATCATAAATGAATAAACACTTTTTAAAATGTTCTAAAGGCTATGGCAGTCATACTCTTTGGGACAATTATGCTAAAAATGCATTCAGCAGATGTTCTGGGAGTTGCTGCAGACAAACTCCTGAATAGCTTGCTTTTTTTTTTTAATGATAATTTAAATTACCCACAAAACACACTCCTCTACACAAAACCTCAGTGTTACAGTGCACGAGTTCTCCACACTGATCTCCTGGATCTCTGTTAGAGAAAGTACGAATTTTAGTGTTTAACTGCACTACTGGTCAGAGCAGCTTTTAATTCTGGACAGCTGAATGCAGGACACAAGAGGTTAGAGTGCTGAGTGGGAATTTAATGGAAATGTATGCGTTCTAGACAGAAAGAGAGACAGATGGAGACAGAGAAACCGAGAGCCAACCACAGTGTATGTAAATCTCAAGTATCTGCTCTTAAGGCAGGTGAATACTCCACTTGGTGGCAGTGAGTACCCGGGCACTACAACCACTCCACCTTGCATTTCTTTCCATCCCCCAACTTTTCTACCTGAAGCATTTTTATGTCTCCCCAGTGAGAGCGGGCATTAGCCGAAGCAGATACACCAGCTTTTTCCTCCAATGAGTCACAGATCCCCTGAAACCTTTTCATGCTGTGAGCCATTGATTGACTCATTTGTTTTACCTGCCATCTGCAATTCATTATCTCCGGTGCCAGTGGAAGGACATATTGCTATCTCTGAACGGCTTCTTTTTCCCCCCGCATTTCTTAAGTGACTGATGCACCTCGCGAGGACGCTGCCCTCGAGCCAGCTCGCACACCTACTTGTAGCTGTTGAGAAGGTCTGTGCAGGTGGCGTTGTTTTTGCAGGGTTGTGATAAACATTCATCAATTTCTTGTTGGCAGTACTCCCCCTCCCAGCCAGAACGACACACACACTCATAACTCTGCGATACAAGAAAAAGGGAAACAATATTAGATTAACACTGGAAAGTAGTCACATTTCACATCTGCACTATGTAGAGTTAGTATTTTAGGTGGTTAGAATCGAATATTTAGGAGAGCAGTAGGCACATCTCACATGCAGGGACTGTTAATTAAGTTGTTACGGAGCAGACAGGGCATTTTGCCACTCGTTTGTTTCGTTATTTATATTGGTTGCATTTTAAAAAACAAATGTTGCAATGCTTAATATACTTGATTTAATTCATCTCAATGTTCTTGAAAACATTGCGGAATAAAACCTCCTACTCACACACACACAAAAAGCTTTCCTGTGGAAATCTGTTTAAAGTGAGGAAGAGTCATGCTTGTCTTACATTTCCACATTACCGTGCTGATGTATTCCTCCTACCACCCACCCTCTGGACAGTATGCAAGCCTGTTTTTTTCCATCACATTCAAGATACGATGATACAAAACCTTTATGAAGCGTACAGCATTACCACCGCATATTCTTTGAGGGATATTTTCACAGCCAAGCAAACATGTAAAACACGTTGGATTTAGTTTTGTCAGGTTGTTTTTTTTATTCTGGAGCCAGTAAATGTGTTGTTAGTACTTTAAATTCAAAAAACGTTTTATACAAAGCTCAAACATTGCTAATCTTTTATTTTCTTGCCTTTCCTCCATTCAAAACAGTATGTGGACCACTCGTCCTTTATTTCATCACCGCAATTGGCGCTAAAATAATGAATTGCTGCAAGACAGATTAATGTTTTTCTTCCATTACTTTCCAAGAAGCCATCTTAATTTAAATTCCTCTTTGCATACGTTATGAACGTAGTCATATGGTCAAAGGTTGTTTGGGATTTATCATTGCCAACCCTCTGTCGAAAGGTCCCGGGTACTTGCGGTTGAATGCATGCTAATATTTATTTCATACACTGAAGGGGAGCCGTTAAACTTTGTCTGATATAATTTGTACACTGTAGGCCTTATGGTGGTGGGGGAAAATGCCGTCATCTCATGATAAATTAGATACCTCCAGGAGACTCCAATTCCTTACCCCTGGCAATAGAACATAATCTCATTTTTGCTGCTAAGTCACCTTCAGGGACTGCAATTCTCCAAAATAAGGTAAAGCTCTGTGGGACACAATGTTCAGAGAGAGAAATAGCTGCACTGTAAACAAGACTATGTGATGGGGTTTCCAAAAAACGGCCCTATTTGAATAATGAACCGAGAAAAATGTAACGGTAAAACACGGTGACTAAAAAAATACCTGTGGAAATTTCATTATATTCCTCTTATCAGATCCCATCGTCTTCTTACACGGTGTCCTTTTGTCTTTGGACTTGAAGTTTAGTTTATCCCAGAAAATGAAAATTACACTACAGTGTTTTAACCAGCTTTTGCACCACAATAGGCTTCCATTGGTTCCTTATAAACTACATCAAAAAGAGCCAGATAAAATTATTAGTAGAATATGTTGACTGACTTTAAAATTTTAATGATGGATGACTTTTATTTCTTTATACCGGCTGGATAAAACACAACCATTACTGATGAGCTACAAAAAAGGAAAGTCATGTTATAATCTTAAAACTTAGCTCTGCAAATCTTAATACTGATTTCATGAGAATTAAATTTGGTACAGAAACTTTGTAATTACAAATTAATTTTTACAAAGTGTTCTCCTCTATCTTAACATCACTACTCTAATGTAAGCCTTTTTTAAAACTCGACTACACACATCATAAGTTACCAGAGGGGGAAAAAAAGGCTAAATATATGGACTTTATCTATGACACATCTGTTTTACTACTGCAATCTGTTAGCAAAAAAGCAGCTGTTGAAAAAAGGCTCCTGGTACTCATTGCACAGTTAGTGAGCAGCATGCGGTTCCCAAGGCCTTTCCGCAGCTGCAACATATCAATGTTATTGGCTTAAAAAACATTTGAATAAGTACAAGAATAGAGTTGTGCCTTCAAGACACAAGTTTTAAAAGTTCTGCTTTTTTTTGTTAAACTTAACTTCTGACATAAGCATTTTTTATTTCCCGTCAAGCCTGCCCATGTGTTGCATAACCAGGACGTGGAGGTTTTTAATGGGGAATATAGCGTGCTATAGATGTGCTTAGACACTGTAAAGTTATTAAATGGCTATCAAAAATATAAATAAAGAAAAACCTATTGAATATTTCTATGTTTATTATGACTTACACTTTAAACATAAAGATGAAGCTTTTTTAAATAATTACTAATTATCAGGTATATGTGTTGTTTTGGACACACGATCTAAAACAACATTGGTTAAAAACAGAGACGCTATCATTACAAATTAGTGTTTTCCTTCTAGGGATACTTTGGTAATCCTTTGGTTATTATGGTACATTGGCTACAAGGCATAAGTGGGACACTGTAATTGGCATAATTTTTCTATTATGAGATATAAATAATAATGGCCATCTATGGGACATAAGATATTAACAGTTCCCTACCTTATTTTCCCCCCAGACACCCAAAACAATATGAATCATGCTGGACCTGTAAACCAGATAACTGGCGAGCTGCTCTGGAGCACAAAGTCATGCCGATGTAATTTATTCGTTTTTAATAATGTGCCAATGTTCGAGTTACTGCACACTTGTTAATATTTACTGCAAAAGAAATGTTTTAAAACACTGAATGCACAGCAGCCATCAAAGGTAATATACAGTAACTAATGTGATTCATGTCTATCAATATTTTATGGAGAGTTACCAACTGTGGCGATTTACAGGACTGGGCAATTCTGAAGCATAGGCTATAACATCACTCCATTATACTGCCTTGGAAAAATGTTTCAACTTACCAGATGGAGGTCCTTACATACTGAGTTGGTGCTGCACCAACTGTTCACGCAGTCATCAATGTCTTTCTCACATCTGAGCCCAGCATAACCGGGACTGCAAAGGCAGTAAAAGCCATCTACAACTAAAGGAAAAGCCGGAGCATAGTTACAGTACCTTGCATCATAAATTAATTCACTCAAATCTCTGTGGGTCCTACATCTCTACACAGGTAAGTGCTGATTATGAGCATAAATGACTACACAATGGCCACTGTGATTCTATTTTTAAAGGGTATGACCATTAAATAAATGACTTAGGCTGTATCAGTAAGACCTGTTGCTGGCAAAGTCCAAACTGCCTTAGTCTGACAGCTTTACACTCTAACCAGCTTTAAATGAACCTGTCTGCGATGGCCATTCAGTCCTCTTCTTGCCAGGTGCTTTCCTTGTCTCACCATATTTCTGCTCACTGAAAGCCTGAAAGTCTTGTCATTTGTTGCAACACTCTCAACATACTTGCAACACGCTGAATGATGGGGAAAGAGCGCAACAGAGGGAGAGGACCAATTTCAGTGCTATTCTTAATTCAGAAGCTACAAATGCGCCAATTTCTTCCATCAGAAGTTAGAATTTCCCATGGCTAATAATCCATTCCTTCCTCTCTTTATTTATTAATGATTTTAACCAAGGATGCATCATTCTGTTTCTCCAACACAACACTGGTACAGGCAGCCAGTGACAGAGGTAATTGCAGTTCTTACAGGAGTGAATTTATTACTTCCCCAGTCAGGGTCCCTGGATTCTTCATTATCCCAAAGATTTACCACGTAATCTATGCTGTCACTCTGTCTTGGTGCGTGTAGATGCTATTACTCTCATTAAATGCTGTAAGTCCTCGGTGGCAGCAGCATTACTCATCACTGCCACTGTGGCTATGCAGTGCTGTCCCTTGTGGCTGGCTGGCTGGCTGCGACTGAGCACTGGCCAATAGGTCCAAGAATCCACCTTCACTAACCTAAGGTGAACTGGCTGCGCTCAAAATTGGCCAAGACAGCTTGTGGAGGGCTACTGTAGCACTGAGAGGACAGTGATCCACTGCCATCACTATTTTAGAAAAAGCATAAGCCAGTTCAAAACTGGACTGGAGAGCTGGCAGTTTTCAAGAACGCCAGGAAGGGTGGAAGAAACAAATATTTTGATGCTTTTTCAAAACTAAACTAAATTTATGACAAAATCATGCAAATTCACAGTATAACATAAACAAAGCAAGATTCATTGACTGATAATTATTTCGAATTTATTAGTTTTCAGCACTTTTCTAATGATCAGATATTTTTTTTAATACTTGGGCTAGAGATGAAATGCACGGGAGTAACCATTCAAAACCATTCATTCAAAGTCATTTAATATCCATTATTCAAATTGTAGCGCAACATCGATGACTGATCTTCTCTGACACATTATATTAAGAAACTAATCAAGTGCACTCCAGTAAAAAATGTCCAGCTCCTCTCTTCAGATGAATGATTCTAACCACAATATCTACAATGGTGAAGCAACTGAAAACTACCTATCACACTCCAAGTGAACAAAATCAAATTAGACACATAAATGGCATTTTAATGTCTAAATACACGCATGCAGCTTTGCTTCCGTCATGAGTGTATGTCATGAAAATGTTGGGAAGACGTAAGCTGTTTCGTACCATCATAGCAGAAGCCATGAAGACAGGGGCTGGAGCTGCACTCATCCACATTGATTTCACAGCGGGGACCAGTGAAGCCACGGCGACAGTGACAGCGGAAACCTAAAGGGAAATGGTCCTGATCCAACTCTTCCACACATACTGCTCCATTCTCGCAGGGATTACTGGCCTCACAGGGTAAGAACTCACAATTATGACCTGAGGAGAGGCAAAGAAATAAATACAGGGCCCATCCAGAAGACAAGACTCTTGGTTACAGTGCAAGAATTGATCTCAAGATTTAAAGTGTACACCTTTATTATACGTTTCCTTGAACCTACAATAGAATTGAGAACACACACCAAATGTTAATCTAAGGAAATTTACTAATTTAAGAAGAATAGTTCAGTGACACCTTATACTGTAGATGATGCGATATTAATAAGGCTGAAAATTATTTTGAAAATTTTCCACAACTTGTAGACAGTTTTTTATAGACTAGTAAACCCCTGAGTGTCTTTATATCTTAGAAACTCTGCCTCTCTTTTTATACGCAATCAGGTTACTGACCTAATTTATTGGATAATGTTCCTCCACGTACTTTTCTAACCTTTTGATCAAATTTATATATCTATATATATCTATATATATCTATATCTATATCTATATATATCTATATCTATATCTATATATATCTATATCTATATATCTATATATATATAGATATCTATATATATCTATATATATATATA